CAAAAGCTAACACTGTTGACACAGACAATTGAATACAACCGTGGGCATCTAGCAGTAAACAAACAATCTCGCCAGCCAATCACAATGCACGGGCCCCGGGGATCTCATTAAACCTGCGCCCCCCCCCGACTCACACTACCGATCCCTACTCGGGGCGTCCTTGGACCGAGAACAAGAAAGCGCCCTCAGGACATGTTCTACCCTCGCCTGTTTGACCAGAGAGGGGAGCCTTCTCCTCGGGAACTTCTTAAGACGTCGGGTAAACTCTGTGTGGGACGTGAAGGATGTGTGGGGTAAACTTTGTGGGGGGAAGGGGTGGTGGCGGGGGGGGGGGTGGTGGCCCCGGGGGGGGAGTGTGGGGTAAACTTTGTGGGGGGAAGGGGTGGTGGCGGGGGGGGTGGTGGTGGCCCCGGGGGGGGCGTGAAAGATGTGAGTGTGGATAGGAATAGATGAAGATGAGAAGTTACAGACAGATATTAATAGTTAGAGATGGCGATGAAAAGCTAGAGATAAATTAAATATGAATAAATAAATAGAGATTGAAGGGACAGAAAGGAATTGAGAAAGGGAGGTCGGGATGACGTAAGGAAAGAAGGCAAAAGAGGATGGAGGGTGGGAGAGAGAGAGAGAGAGAGAGAGAGAGAGAGAGAGAGAGGTGGAGGGTAGGAGGGCGGGAGGTAGGAGAGAAGTGGAAAGTTTCAAGGAGATAATGAATCGACCAAAATGAAAGGCCGCAGGTTTGAAAACAAAGAGTCCAAAGTGAGTTCTACGACGAGAGGGGCAGAGAGAAAGAAAACATACTAGACATTGGGGTGAGATAAGCAGGAGGACGAGAGGGGCTGAGAGAAAGAAAACATACTAGACATTGGGGTGAGACAAGCAGGAGGACGAGAGGGGCTGAGAGAAAGAAAACATACTAGACATTGGGTGAGACAAGCAGGAGGACGAGAGGGGCAGAGAGAAAGAAAACATACTAGACATTGGGGTGAGACAAGCAGGAGGACGAGAGGGGCAGAGAGAAAGAAAACATACTAGACATTGGGGTGAGACAAGCAGGAGGACGAGAGGGGCAGAGAGAAAGAAAACATACTAGACATTGGGGTGAGACAAGCAGGAGGACGAGAGGGGCAGAGAGAAAGAAAACATACTAGACATTGGGGTGAGACAAGCAGGAGGACGAGAGGGGCAGAGAGAAAGAAAACATACTAGACATTGGGGTGAGACAAGCAGGAGGACGAGAGGGGCAGAGAGAAAGAAAACATACTAGACATTGGGGTGAGACAAGCAGGAGGACGAGAGGGGCAGAGAGAAAGAAAACATACTAGACATTGGGGTGAGACAAGCAGGAGGACGAGAGGGGCAGAGAGAAAGAAAACATACTAGACATTGGGGTGAGACAAGCAGGAGGACGAGAGGGGCAGAGAGAAAGAAAACATACTAGACATTGGGGTGAGACAAGCAGGAGGACGAGAGGGGCAGAGAGAAAGAAAACATACTAGACATTGGGGTGAGACAAGCAGGAGGACGAGAGGGGCAGAGAGAAAGAAAACATACTAGACATTGGGGTGAGACAAGCAGGAGGACGAGAGGGGCAGAGAGAAAGAAAACATACTAGACATTGGGGTGAGACAAGCAGGAGGACGAGAGGGGCAGAGAGAAAGAAAACATACTAGACATTGGGGTGAGACAAGCAGGAGGACGAGAGGGGCAGAGAGAAAGAAAACATACTAGACATTGGGGTGAGACAAGCAGGAGGACGAGAGGGGCAGAGAGAAAGAAAACATACTAGACATTGGGTTGAGACAAGCAGGAGGACGAGAGGGGCAGAGAGAAAGAAAACATACTAGACATTGGGGTGAGACAAGCAGGAGGACGAGAGGGGCAGAGAGAAAGAAAACATACTAGACATTGGGGTGAGGCAAGCATGAGGACGAGAGGGGCAGAGAGAAAGAAAACATACTAGACATTGGGGTGAGACAAGCAGGAGGACGAGAGGGGCAGAGAGAAAGAAAACATACTAGACATTGGGGTGAGACAAGTAGGAGGACGAGATGGGCAGAGAGAAAGAAAACATACTAGACATTGGGGTGAGACAAGCAGGAGGACGAGAGGGGCAGAGAGAAAGAAAACATACTAGACATTGGGTTGAGACAAGCAGGAGGACGAGAGGGGCAGAGAGAGAGAAAACATACTAGACATTGGGGTGAGACAAGCAGGAGGACGAGAGGGGCAGAGAGAGAGAAAACATACTAGACATTGGGGTGAGACAAGCAGGAGGACGAGAGGGGCAGAGAGAAAGAAAACATACTAGACATTGGGGTGAGACAAGCAGGAGGACGAGAGGGGCAGAGAGAGAGAAAACATACTAGACATTGGGGTGAGACAAGCAGGAGGACGAGAGGGGCAGAGAGAAAGAAAAAAATACTAGACATTGGGGTGAGAAAAGCAGGAGGATGAGAGGGGCAGAGAGAAAGAAAACATACTAGACATTGGGGTGAGACAAGCAGGAGGACGAGAGGGGCAGAGAGAAAGAAAACATACTAGACATTGGGGTGAGACAAGCAGGAGGACGAGAGGGGCTGAGAGAAAGAAAACATACTAGACATTGGGGTGAGACAAGCAGGAGGACTTTCAAGGAATGTCCCGATAAGAGCAGAATAACTAAGTTTGTATGAGTAAATGGACACAATTAGAGGAGATTAACTATATTAGCATCTAGCAACGTTGTGCTGTTAGCATCTGACAACGTTACGCCGTTAGCATCTAGCAACGTTGTGCTGTTAGCATCTAGCAACGTTACGCTGTTAGCATCTAGCAACGTTACGCTGTTAGCATCTAGCAACGTTACGCTGTTAGCATCTAGCAACGTTACGCTGTTAGCATCTAGCAACGTTACGCTGTTAGCATCTAGCAACGTTGTGCTCTCTTCGAAATCAACGATCACGACGAGCAGGAGATCGTATGGACTGCTGTTGGAAAAAACAAAATAATCAAAAGTTCTTAAGTGTGACTTGGGAATAAGAACAATGTTACCAGATAATAGAGGAACTACTTAGGGCGGGTTGGACGTTCAAATCAGATGACATCCACCAGCTGCGCACTTCAAAGGACTCGGGTTACGTGGAGCGCATGGAATGACTGAAGATGAAAACTACACGGCAGGATGACAATGTATACACCTGTCACTCTGATAAGCTGTCACAATGATAAATCTGTGAACGTGATAATAAGAAGTAAAAAAAAAACAATTAAAAAATAACGAAACAAACAAACCCAACCCTGGTACCCATCCGAAGAATCACGCTAAGATCTAATGTCTGGTCAGGTGTGGCGAGGGCGTGTTCTTCATTGGTTCAGAAACTTACTTGATTACACCGCAGCGTTGATCTAGTTATGTCCTACTTCGATACGAGACACCGCCACAGACAGACAATCTATTGGAACTCTAATCAAATGCCTGATGACGGAAATACAATTAACAAAAAAAAAAAAATGTTTATATTTGTAGAGCAATTATAGGTTTGGAGCTTAAGTTAAATATAATTGCTTTTGTCTAGTAGTAAAATTAAAAAAATTAAAATTAACAATTTCTCGTGTACACACGCATTTGCCATTGCCCAATACGGAGTAAACTGAATTTTTTCCAATCATATTTTTTATGTTTTCATGCAGCAGAACGACAGAAGAAAACCTTTTGATCTTCAGCTTCACTTCATTAAAAAAAAATAATTCTGAACCACTGGTAAGACATAATTCTAGAATATGAAATAATTATCACAGCGTAGTCGATTTTTTTTCTTCAATTCCTGCGTCCATTTTATTTTTTAGACACTAGAGCGTTTCGTCCAACTCAATTGAACAAAATAAACAAAATTGATCTTTTCATTTGTTGAAAAAAAAAAGAAAAAAGAAAGAAAAAAGAAAGAAACACAAAAAAAAGCGCATTAATTAAAAATAAATAAATAAGTATTTGTTTAGATGTGATTGGATGACAAAAGGAAGACACTAAGTTATCTCAGTACCTCACCCACCCGACAGAAACAGTCATCAACACCGCGAGGGTCGGAGGAGCGTTGTAAAGAACAATTCTGGTGGGCTTATAGTGAACTATTCACTTGGCCTTATTTTGGTATGTGCAACTTGAGACTACTTTATCTTGGTGGAACGGTTGTTGAAGCACGGTACACGAAGTTCAATGATTGAAAGTGCAACACTACAGAAACCACCTCATTTTGATTTGAAGGTTTTTTTTTTTTGTTTTTTTTAATCAATACCAAATCTGTGTTAATAATTTGCATGAACTATTTCCCCAGTCGCGCAGATTAACACTGTAGCCGATCGATCGACCTTATTTGTTTGAGACCCGCCGTGAGCGACAGTCCGTTGGATAATAACTGTCAGCTCCGTCACACACACACACACACACACACACACACACACACACACACACACACACACACACACACACACACACACACACACACATCGGTGTGTTAAACGGTTCACGCTCGAGTGATTTCGTGACGTAACATCTTCTCTTCGCTACTGACTCAACAACATCTTTTTTTTCCTTAACTGTTTACGTTTAAAAAAAAAATAATAATAATTAATGAACAGTTACTTTGTCGTACCGACTGTCTTAGACTTAGACTGTCTTAGACTTAGACTGTCTTAGACTTAGAGTCTAGAAGATCCCCAAAATAACCGAGAAATTTCTCGTGATCTCCACAAAAAATGGACCTATGTATTTAAGTAAGTTTAATGGGACAGAACCTCGCCGGGAGTTGAAAGGTTGCCACCGGGATTTTATAAAGTACTTGACAACCGTATCTTAAACTGCAATACAATTTTGAGCAACCCGTTGTTATTCACTGAGTTTCTGAAGCAGAATGGCGGACGAGAATGGAAACCCGCTTTGGCCAGATTTTTCAGAGATGTCCACCAAAACGAATGACTCAACGGACACCTTCTTGGTTCAGAATATCGCTCTTGCCCAGCACAGCGTATTCGTCATAGGCAATGACGTCGTCGAGTTTGTCATCCTGCTCAACATCGCCGTCATCTCGCCCGTCATCTCCATCTTCGGCATCGCCTCCAACATCATTAACATCATCGTCTTCGCGCGCCACGGGTTCAAGGACAGTGTCAACGTCAGCCTGGTGGCCCTGGCCGTCTCCGACGTCTGCTCGCTCGTCCCTCTGCTGTGGCTGTCCGTCGTGCTCAACCCGGCCTTCTCCGCCGTGCCGTTCGTGAGGCTCGAGGTCCAGTACCTGACCGCGTCGTGGCCGCACACCTGCTTCGCCAGGATCACCAGCTGGGTCACGGCGTACATCATGCTGGAGCGCTGCCTCTGCATCATCAAGCCGCTGACCGTCAGAACGATCATCACGCCCAGACGGGTGCGGTGCATCATGGGATTCATCTTTGCGGCCGGTGTGGCCGTGGTCTGCCCCACCTATGCGACCGCTTGGCTGGGGTGGCGGTTCTCACCGGCGGATAACAGAACGCTTCTGGGGCTGGTGAACCGGCCAGGCTCCAAAGACGTCATCAAGGCCACCGTTTTCTTCAACAACACCTTATCTCCTCTGGCTTCCTTCGTCGTCGTTGGAGTCTGCCTCATCATCATAGTGTCGAAGCTGAAGGAGAAAGCAAAGTGGCGAGAGGCGTCCGTGGGTGGCACGAATCTAAAGAAAATCTCAGGCAACGACAGGAAAGCCATCAAAATGCTGGCAGCGCTTTCCGTGATGTTCATCACCAGCGTGGCTCCGAACATCGGGCTTGTCGTCTGGTACATCTGCGACAAGGAGTTCACACTGGACGGGGCGTACCGGAACCTGTTCAACACGCTCTTCACGTGCACGTACGTCCTGGAGGCCTCGAACTCAAGTTTCGGGGTCGTCGTCTACTTCACGATGAACGCTCGGTACAGGGCCACGTTCATGAACATCCTCGGTCTCGGCAGGAAATGAAATGCTCCGACTTTGATATCCCGGTACAGTGGCTCCGTCCCAGACTTGCAAACGATGGATCATTACGTTGTGCCAAATGATCAGTGTATGAACACCTTATATATTCGTAGGGCAGTTTAGAAGTGACAAGAAATCCATCAGAAAAGTGTTTGGAATCTAAGCAAGGTGTTTGAGGATTTATCTAGAAACTACCGAGTCATTCATTTGGAGAGTATTTGATGTGCTATTAAAAAAAAAAGTAAATTATTTATTTCGGAACTCGTCAGAAATAATGTGTATAAAATTGTACGTTAGAGGTCATTAGATTCCCGTACGAGCTCCCAAGACATGAAGTTCTTATCATGGACTCATTTTACTATCTATGAAACTTTTAAAATTTAAAATTAGAAAATAATTTTAAAAAACACGCTTGTCTAAAAAAAATGTGCTAAAAAGTGTAAAATAAAAGTCGTCCCTCAACCCCCCCCCTCCCCAACTTAAGAGTTGCTACAGTCAGAGTTAAAAATAAAAAATAAAAAAATATTTTAAAAAAACCCCCTGTATAAAAAAAAAGGGGTAAAAAGGTTAAAAAAAAAAGCCGCCCCCCACCCCCCCCCCCCCCAACTTAAGAGTTGCTACAGTCAGAGTTGTTACAGGCATATGACTTAAGCATGGTGACGTGTTTTCGATATGCGATTTTATCAAAGAAAATATTTTGGCGATACTCCGATCATATGTGTAGGCAACCTTGATGTAGGCAACCTTGATGTAGGCAACCTTGATGTAGGCAACCTTGATGTAGGCAACCTTGATGTAGGCAACCTTGATGTAGGCAACCTTGATCTTAAGACAATTTTCCGACCGCTGTTTTAGGTTCACGTGACGCATTTTATCTGATAAATGTTTTCTTCTGTATTTAAAGTCACGTGAGATATTGTATCTGTATTTTTAAAGTCACATGGCATCGTGTATTTGTTGTTTAAAGTCACCTAACATATTGTATCTGTATTTAAGGTCACTTGATATCGTGTTATGTTTTTAAACTCATAAAACTTATTGTATCTGTATTTAAAGTCACATGACATATTGCATGTGTATTTAAGGTCACATGACATTTTTTCCCTGTATTTAAGGTCACGTGACCTATTTGTTTGCGTAATTGAGGTCACCTCCACCCGAGAGGTTCATTTGATAAATTCCTTAAGCACTCAGGAATGACCTCGAGTGTTTATAAACATTTCCAAATGAGACGTCAGCCATCTTAGGTGCTCAGGCCAGCATACCCACGCCCAACCCATCCCCACCGGGCTTACAAACACAGGTTAATGAGATACAAATTGACATGTTTTTATACGTCATCAGCCCAAACCCCCACCCCCCAACCTAAACACCCCCCCCCCCCTAAACAAACCAAACCACCCAAACAACACCCCCCCCCCCCAACCCAAACAAAACACCCCCCCTCCCCCCGAGCCCCAATAAAACAGCGGGCTGATGCCATCCAGATGATTTAATTAAACGAGTGCGAATTGTTTTCTTGTGACGTCTGATGGACACTTGAGGACTTGAAGGGCCACTTGGGGCGCCAAAGATGGCTGACGGATTGAGATGGGAAGAAATGCTAGTGTTTTTTTTTTGCTTTTTTTAAAAAAATCTTAACGTGAAATTTTTTTTGCGTAATTGGAATTTTTGGCGCGTTCTTAATGATCAAATTTCTTTTTTTTTTTAATGCCAAATGATAGATTTTTCAGCGTCTAGTTGGAGGGGGGGGGAGCGGGGGGTGGGGGTGGGGGGGTGTCGGATTTTAAATCCTTTCAACTCTATGGCCACCGTTTAAATACATACAATTTTCCTTAATCTCACTGAATGTCCTTATTTCATTTATTTTCCATTTGATTATTTGTTGATTTTAAAAACAATTTTTTTTTTTTTTGGTTCATATATCATTACCGCGTGTTACCTTATTACCATTAAATGACACCTCGCCACACCAAGAGTACTTTTTAATGAAGTCATTTCCGTAACCCGTCTGCTCAACCGGGGGTCAAGGTTTAAACTTGAGAGCGTTCGATGGATTCGACGCGGAGTACGTTGTAAATCACATGGAGTAATCTCCCGTACATGACAGCGAGTTATCTCCCGTTCAAAGGGAATGGTGTTAAAGGCTTGCTCATACACCCGCTTTCATAAAAAGACGTTATCATTCATTCGAATAGCTCAGCAGCGCTATAACATGGCGTCGAGCACTTCGTTAACTCAGCGATAGCGAAGAGTTCTATACCACCAGATATCATCTCAGCTAGTTCTCTTAATTTATACTTGGCGAATGATAAAATTGATCAGCTGGTTTGACAGTTATGTAAAGGAGGTTACGTTTAAAAAAAAAAAAAANTCATACAATGATGAGGCGAAGGACATTTGACCATCATACAATGATGAGGCGAAGGACATTTGACCATCATACAATGATGAGGCGAAGGACATTTGACCATCATACAATGATGAGGCGAAGGACATTTGACCATCATACAATGATGAGGCGAAGGACATTTGACCATCATACAATGATGAGGCGAAGGACATTTGACCATCATACAATGATGAGGCGAAGGACATTTGACCATCATACAATGATGAGGCGAAGGACATTTGACCATCATACAATGATGAGGCGAAGGACATTTGACCATCATACAATGATGAGGCGAAGGACATTTGACCATCATACAATGATGAGGCGAAGGACATTTGACCATCATACAATGATGAGGCGAAGGACATTTGACCATCATACAATGATGAGGCGAAGGACATTTGACCATCATACAATGATGAGGCGAAGGACATTTGACCATCATACAATGATGAGGCGAAGGACATTTGACCATCATACAATGATGAGGCGAAGGACATTTGACCATCATACAATGATGAGGCGAAGGACATTTGACCATCATACAATGATGAGGCGAAGGACATTTGACCATCATACAATGATGAGGCGAAGGACATTTGACCATCATACAATGATGAGGCGAAGGACATTTGACCATCATACAATGATGAGGCGAAGGACATTTGACCATCATACAATGATGAGGCGAAGGACATTTGACCATCATACAATGATGAGGCGAAGGACATTTGACCATCATACAATGATGAGGCGAAGGACATTTGACCATCATAGAATGATGAGGCGAAAAAGCGCAGTGTGACCACAGGGTGCGAGTCGGTGGGGTGAGTTCTGTTGATTTGGGGTGGGGGGGGTTTTGGGTGTTGAGTTGCAGTCGTCTTAGCGTGAAATGTGCAAGCCCTATGTTGTCAGGGGCAGTCGGTGTGCCAAGAGTAGAATTGGTATCAGCGTAGTGAAAGTAGTATTAGTATCAGAGTAGTTTGAGCAGAAAAAATATCAGAGTAGATGGAGTAGAATTAGTATCGAGTAGTTTGAGTAGAATTAGTTTCAGAGTAGTTTGAATAAAATTAGTATCAGCTTAGTGAGATTAGAATTAGTATCAACGTTGTGAGAATAGAATTATTATCAGCAAGGGAGAATTTCATATTACATTTTATAAACTTGTCACAATCCAGTGTGACCGTGTGGCAGTGTGCCGTGTGGCAGTGTGACCGTGTGGCAGTGTGACCGTGTGGCAGCGTGACCGTGTGGCAGCGTGACCGTGTGGCAGTGTGACCATGTGGCAGTGTGACCATGTGGCAGTGGGACCATGTGGCAGTGTGACCGTGTGGCAGTGTGACCATGTGGCAGTGTGGCCGTGTGACTGTGTGGCAGTGTGTCCGTGTGGCAGTGTGACCATGTGGCAGTGTGACCATGTGGCAGTGTTACGTCGTGGCAGTGTGACCGTGTGGCAGTGTGACGGTGTGGCAGTGTGGCGGTGTGGCAGTGTGACGGTGTGGCAGTGTGACAGTGTGGCAGTGTGACCGTGTGGCAGTGTGACCGTGTGGCAGTGTGACCGTGTGGCAGTGTGACCGTGTGGCAGTGTGACCGTGTGGCAGTGTGACCATGTGGCAGTGTGACTGTGTGGCAGTTTGACCGCGTGGCAGTGTGACTGTGTTAACCCCATTGAATCATATTTTAACGCACATTTTAATCGACATTTTGACATTCTTTTTCCTTTCAAAGCTGCATGACGTCAAAGTTGTCAATAGACGTTGATCGTTTTAAGGGGAAAAACATTTTTATTGTACAAACTAATTAAATCTAATTGAGTAATTGTTACATGAACTTGAGAGAGAGAAAATAAACATAAAAAAAACAACCTATCTTCAGTTCGTACACACTATGGACGCCGCCATCACGAAACCGTTCATTCATAGAAACGGGACAGTTACCCTGCTTCCACGTTTTGGTAATGATTCCCGACGCCTTGACTCAATACTCGTGAGTTCACCCTACTCTACGCCCCCCACTCACAAGCCGTTGGCTCCTATCGTCTCTGATATCATACACGGCACTCAATGTGTTCTCAACAAACACACGCACGACAAGGAATCGGCCATTGATACTAGAGAATTATCCGTTACACTAAGGATAACTGAACTATTCAGGTGCACTACCTGAGATTGTGTGAACTTCACCTTGACCTTTAGCAGGTACGGTCCAGAGGCGTTTAGTTCGACCTTCTCACCGCGCCTTAAATGTATTTTTTTGAAAGTCGGATAAATTGAAGGGAACGGAATGCAAGAGTGTAGAGCATAGGCGTCGCCAGAAATATTCTTAAAAAACTGTCTATAGTTGATGAATAGAGGATTCGTGAGCGAATGCAACAAGGGTGTAGCATGAAGAAATCAGAACACATTGCTGCAGAAAAAGTGATGAATGGCTTCCGGTTCTGAGGTAGAACAACCCAGGCATTGCCATGTCCGATACAAGGGCTGAATAGTATCCGGTTCTGAGGTAGAACAACCCAGGCATTGCCATGCCCTATACAAGACCTCTACCGTACAGATCAGATTCAACAGAAGCACTAGACGTCCAGACCGTATACAAACATATCATATTT